ATGACTGAGACTTACAATGCTCTGCACTGAGCTTTACCCTCCCGTCAGCTCACCTTTGCTTTGCGATCCGTAGGAACGGATACGAAAATGCTTTTATCAGAAATATGCAGAACGGGACAGAACATTCCCGCTTTCGAATTTCTCAATAAAATAATTCTCTTACCCTAAGAAGGGAGCATATGGGTTTGAACCGGAGACCACTCGATCTGCAGTTGAATGCTCTGCAACTGAGCTTTACCTCCCGTAAGCTCACCTTTGCTTTGCGTTCCGTAGGAACGGATACGAAAATGCTTTGATTAGAAATATGCAGAACAGTACAGATCATTCCCGCCTTCGAATTTCTCAAAAAAAATTTCTCTTCACTTCCCTGAAGAAGGCAGTATCCGGATTTGAACCGGGGATCTCTCAATCTGCAGTTGAATGCTCTGCCACTGACCTGTACCCCCCGTAAGCCCACCTTTGCTTTGCGTTCCATAGAAACGGATACGAAAATGCTTGATTAGAAATTGCAAACAAATGATGCAATTGCACACATACAAAGTTCTACGTGCATCTATATATATATATAAGTTGAAAGCTTGTATGTATGAAATCGCTTCACTCCAACATCGTTCAAACGATCTCTATCAAAATCGGCATGTATATAAATTTTTTTGTGGAGAAGGTTTTTGTGCTACCCGCTTTGATGAAGATAACTACCAACTAGCGCAATAGCATGTCAACTTCAGTACCGTTCCCCCACTCGCCAATTTTCCAACTTGGTCGCCTAAAATGATGCTAAAATTGCTCTATCACCAGCATTTCGCTAGATTCCATTGAATTGCCATTATATGGTAAGGCATGGCGTTGCGTGCGAATATTACAATTTTAACATGAAATAAATACAACAGAATGTAATATTAACACATTTCATATCCAGATATAAATTATTTACACTTTTTAAGCGTTCATTACACAAAATTTGTAGCAATGTGTTACTTTTGCTGAGCAGAGATCAACTTAGAAAGGCGTTTTCAAAAGTCGACCCACAAGAGAGTTACGGGGTGTTATAAATAAAAAACCTTCTCCTTTTTATCAGCTTTTATACCTTCAGACTTTAAATTTAGCAAATATATATATACAGTCAGTCAAAAAGTATTGGGTTACACTACCAGCTTATAGATTTTTATCGTAATATTTTACTTAAACATACAAATGAAACAAAAAGAAAGAAGTAAACGCTATTTTGTTAAATAAAAAATAATATTTTGAACAAAACTAATTCATTAATGCAATTATGGTTAAAATTGAAAATAAAGAAATCGAGTTAAGATAAGAGGACTCAAAAAAGTATTGGGACACTTCTCAATAAATTAAGAAAAAAAATTCAAACTTAGAAATTAATATCTTGTTGGGCCTTCCTTGCTTTTTATGACCTCACGAAATCTATTTGGCATGGATTGGATCAATTGTTTTGCAAAATTATCTATCGATTTTGGTCCACTCTTGGTCACAAATATTTTCTTAAATCCTGCTTGTTAGAAATTTGGTGCTCATATAGTTTTTGCTGCATATAATCTCACACATGTTCAATGGGATTAAGGTCTGGACTTTGTGCAGGAGTTTTAATAACTCTAGGACAGTGGTAGAGGACTCATTACTTGCAAATATCTGCAGTATGTCACGGGTCATTATCTTGGTACAATTTAAAATATCCTGAGATTCCCAGCTTGCTTTCACTTTGCCTTAAATTTCGCTGAAATAAGTCAAGATAGACATATTTATACATTATACCATCAATAAAATGTAAGTTCCCGAAACCAGAGCTTGTCATGCAGCCCCAGACAATTTGGTTATCCCTTCCACATTTGACAGTAGGCCGTACATTTTCGACATGCATTGCTGTATTTGATTTCCTTCAAACTTTTTGATTGTCATCCGATCCGAAAATGTTATATTTGCTTTCATAAACAAAAATTATATTTTCCTAATATTCTGTTGGCTGCCTTACATACATTTTAGCAAATGCCAACCTAGCTTGTCTATTTGCTTTGCTGATGTAGGGCGTTTTTTGTGGTACTCTGCCATGATACTTATGTTTTCTTAAGACATTCCTGACAGTTTCAGTGTTAAATGATTTCCTGAACCTACTTTTACATTGCAAAGTCATTTTTAATGCCCTAGTTCTTGGATTAATGTGTACTTGTCTCACAATCCACCTCTCTTCACGTTCATTAAATATCCTTGAACGCCCTGATATTTGCTTGTTTTCAACACTGTTTCTTTTCTTGAACTTGTTAATGATGGTAAAAACAGTAGGCTTACTCAATTTTAATATTTTTCCTATACAGCGAATTGATTTCCCCGCTTTCCAATGACTTTTTACAATATTTCGCACATCAACCAATATATCTTTGTTTCTCGCAATTTTTTCTATAAAAATCTTATCTGTTGAAACATTTGTGTTTAAACATCTAGTCTAAAAAAAGTAGTGTGAAATTAAATTCTATTGATGTTTGTTATGTATATTTGTTAAATTTCTCATTTCAAAAGTGTTCCAATACTTTTTTGACTCCAGTGTGCCTTTGGAGCTTATTTGAAAAGCTAGATCAAATTATAATTCTATAATACTAACAAAATTTTTCTTATATATTGTACACCAAATGTTAAAATATTACTTAATTCATTTTGTTTTTGTTTAAATGTGATAAATATTTTTATAAATGGCTTTACAGTTATGCACGCCAAGTGTTCCAATACTTTTTTGAGTGACTGTATGTTGCTCAGCTGAGATATGCAAAAAACTGTTTTTTGTTTAATTTGCAATTTACGTAAAAATTAACCCATTAAAAACTTCTTTATCCTTCAGCCTGTATGGTTGCGTGGTAGTTTCGGACGTGGTATTTGCTGAACCATAACATTTCGTGGTTTGAGCGGACATTCCAAACTGCATTGTGGCTTGAGTGGGCACATTTCCCCATCTTAGAACAGGTAAAGGGTGTTGTGAAGTTGTGAGCAAATAACAAACAATAATTTCTTACAGACTAATTTTGAAATAAAAGAATTATTTATTTGCTCATCAAATTCTTATCATTGAAGCAATAAATTACAGTTTATACGCCAAGCCAGTGCATTCAGTCTATTAATGGGGAATCAGTCACTTCAATCCTTTAACTGAAGGGCACTTGCTCATCTCTCCAAGACGTTGTTTCCAGTTCTTCAACGCCACTGGCGTTCATGGTATCTCCTTTAGTCCGAAAAAATCTCCTTCGGACCCCGAGTCTGATCCCAGCTTGTCTCCGCTCTCTCCAAGTCTCTCTCCATTTCAAGTATTTCTCCTCTTCCAAAAAAGCCCCTTTTAAACATCAGGGGCGGGTGCAAAACGCGCCCCTCGTCGCTTGTCATTGGGCCTCATTGGTGTCCTATTTGTGTGGAAAACACAAAAACGCTCCGGCCTGTCTGGAATCTAATGGCGCCACATTTCTCGATCGGCATCATCTGGACATTTTGCTTATCACACCGTTTTTGTGCCTTGAGCCATTCTCTCGACATTTGCCGAGGTGACAGACTCATTGGTCAGACAGGCTTCGTCTCTAGTCAATGTGTTCAGGCACACCTTTGAGCAGTATAACTGCCAGTCTGGGTGTCGCCGCCGCTCCGACGTCAAACAATAAACAATGAACCCACTGCCACGTGTATTTGTCTCTTAGCCACCTGCTCTGAGCCATAAAACTTGGCGTGAATAGAAGGGTGGGGTACATACCAAGTGAAGTCCTTACAACTCCTTTACCCTGAAAAGGTCCATTTTACTGTACTGCTCTGACCTCAGGTTGGTTCAGTTCTTAAAATTGCACACCGAAAGGTTGTCTTATGGATGAAACTGACCAGGACAGCTATCCAAATAACAAATACAATGGTAAGTAAAATAATAAATAAATCCAAAATTCCATAAAACGTGCAATTTACCATAAATTCCTAATCATGGATTTTTCCCCTTTTCTTAAAGCTACATGAAGTTTAAACAAAGACTTTCTATATTAAGTTAAATTTTGGCTATCTGTAAGTATTCTCACAACCATTACGACAAGTTATTCACAATTCATGGTTTTTTCTACCATCAAGTTGGCTATTGGGGAAAATTAGACACTTTAATTGGGAATATAATTAACATAACTCATTAGCTCATGCAATGAATTTACTAAATCTATATTTTTTACGCGGAACAATTTTTCTCATGGCTCCAATTTACTTTTGGTCGGCATGACTTCCAACCCAACCCTACTCATCCATTTTAATACTAAGTCAATTTGCTTTACACGATTTTTCCAAATTTGCAACAGAATGTCTATATCGACCATTCGTGATACATCAATCTGCTCTAACCATTTCAAAACTGTGTCGTTAAATTACATCCATAAGAAGAAGCGCATACAAACTTAAACTTCACTTTCTTAATAATGTACATGCCAAATGGCATAACGCATGCGGCATACTTCGAATAACTCACCATGAGAGAACGACGAAAATACCACTTCCACAAATCCAGTACCGAGACCCACGATGCACCTCTATTTTTTTTTTTTTCTACATAACCTTCCATTTTGAACGAAAGATAAATCTTAATCAAATTCCTATACTTAATACATTTAATACGCTGGTACGGGTATCGGTTCACTCTTCCTAACCAAATAATGGGCGGAGTACGTTCGGGATCCCCCATCTCGCTTAGAACTAAATCTAAAATATACTCTGTTTCCTCTCGTAGCGAATTAATTGTTATCCGGGATATACAACCAGTTTTGACTGTATAAACGGCTTTCCCGTAATAAAATTAATATCCCTCTGCCTTAAAGAAATCGCCCCAGGATCCGGAGGAAACTCTTCTTTCTTTTTATAGTTTTAGCAATATTTAAATAGTCACTTCGATCAGGCGGTAATCTAAAACAGTGTTCCGCAACCCCCGGTCCCCGGACCGGTACCGGGCCGCGGATCAAATGGTACCGGGCCATCCGTTTCATTCCAACTGAATTTAAATTCCTAGTTCTATACACCAAATTAAAAAAATATGTGTTCCATTAAATTTTTTTTAAAAAAAGGGGCCCCCGAAGGTAGTGACAAGTGAAGGTAGTGAAGGTAGTGACTCCCCTCAAGTTTGTCCCGAGAGCGCTAGAAATCCTAGATGTTCTTCTTTTGGACCTTGTGTAGACATATACCTGGCAAAAAGGGCAATTTGTGCCGTGTCTTTTATGTCGCAATAATCTATAGCAAATTATTAGGCAGAAGAACATTGAATATCTTTCACCCCCAAATATGTTATATTTGAAGACATTTTAGCTATTCTATCTTGTACTGTTTTAGCGGATAGTGGCAAATCTTTGATTTATTTTCAAGATTTCATATTTGTTTAAAAAGTCACGAAACAGTTCTTCAGATTCACGTATGAAGCATTCTTTGACATACTCTGAAA